TGTTTCTTTCATTTTATTATTTAACAATTTATTTTATTATTTATTTTATTATGTTTCTTTCATTTTAATTCTTTGTTTTGTCTCAAATCTCTTTGAGACAAAACAAAGACCTTTTAAAATTTTTTTTTTTTATAAAAGTTAAATTTTATTTTTAATCTATGTTGGCGAAAAATGAAAAGTTAAATTTTATTTTTAATCTATGTTGGCGAAAGGAAATTTGTTTGTTGCATTGTACACGTCTGGGATGAAACTATGTGACGGATTCAGAATGGACCCTATCCCCCTAGATCCGTCACTGCTCTGTTGAGCCCGTAAACGGAAACATGACAAATTGACATCTATTGAGGAATCAGACTTTATTGGGAAAAGAAAAATGGTTTCTGAGGTTATAATTTTAAGTCACCATTATTCAACTTGTAATTAAGGTTGAAAGGTGAAGACAAGCTTATGCTTCTCTTATTTTGGATTCTTTGTCCGTCTTTTAGATATGGTTTTTGTTGTGATCACAGCGTGCGCTAAAGAGCGTTTTTAAATTTACCTTAATGATGCGGACATTTATATTCTGAATGAAAAACTGCATTATAAGAACTTTGTTCCCAACTCAGTTGAAACTAATATTATTGAATACGAAAAAAAAATCATCTCAATTTACTTCTGGTTATTTAATCAAAGAAACTTGAATCTACTCTCTAATGTCTATGTTTCTCTCTGCTGCTGTTACAAATTGTAACGGAGAAAAGTTTTTTTAAACTTCAAAAAGGTATTGAAAAAAAGGAAAATTGCTACAATTCTAATAGTAGACAAAAAAAAAATGCGTTTTAGCGCTAGCATTTACTTGTTCGTTTTTGGACAATACAATAATTTTAATTAACAATATATTAGCTTATAAAAAAATCGACTTGAAAAACAGATACCATTTTTTTCGGGGAGGGGTGGGGGTCTAGAGAGGCCACAACCATTATTTTGCTGGGGGTCAGAATAGCTTAAAGACGAGCAGCTGTTGATTTTTCAACGGAAAATGAAAAGAAGCAACTTTTATATCTTCCAAAGAACTGTTGTATTCAGTTTTACAGTTATGGAACACACTTTTTAACCATAATATTTAGCTTTGCTAATATTAATAAATTGTCTATATATATATATATATATATATATATATATATATATATATATATATATATATATATATATATATATATATATATATATATATATATATATATATATATATATATATATATATTACTGTTTATGTTTGTGATTATAACTTTGAGGAGTTTATTTTTCGTTTGCAAAAAGAAGCAACCAATACCATCAATTGGTTTCAGTTAAACTCTAACTGAAACCAATTGATAACCCAGATAAGTTCCAATGTTTTTTAGTTGGCCTAAAAAACATCTATCGTTAAAAATATGTAATATAAGAGTTTTTGCCGCCGATAAGATAAAACTACTTAGTATAACAATTGATATTGATCAATTGATATTGATCAATGTTGATGGCTCGCTTGGGCGAGCCCAGCGAGCCATCAATATTGACAGCGAAACTGAATATTCATAATTCCAAGGTCATGCTCTGTATCTGGTCGGACAAGCTCAGAATAATATATTAAATCTATTTATGATGAAAAGACGAAAAAAATAAAATGATAAATTTTGCCGTAACATAAAATAAAAATGTTTGTAGCGAAAAAAACCCAGTCCGAAAATTCTTTTTTTTTAAAAAAAATCTTCATAAAATCACGACCGCTAATTTAAATTTGAATTAGATTTTATATAAATACACTTTTTAAATGGAATGAACTTCATAGTTTAATAATATGATCTGTTCTGGTCGTTTATTGGCAATTTTTCTAAATTATAAGCGCTTTCTTGGTCGGAATTCTGAAATTTTATGTGAAAATTGATAGATATGTTGTGCTCTGACAATTATATTAAATTATTATGTGTGAGAACCGATTAAAGCTAGGATCTATAGTAGATTAAGGTACTTTTTCAAAAATTTTCAACTAAAATTAAGTCAACGCTGTTGAGCGGAATTGATCCAGGCTCAAAAATGGTGTTTTTTAGATTTACAATTAGAGGTAATAAAAAAGTTTTGAAAATCATATAAAAAAGAGAAAAGTTTCTTTAAACATTATAAAAACTTGATGCAATAAAAGTTATAGCATCTAAAGCTCTTGTTTGGATATAATACGCTAACAAAATCATACTAATTCAAAATAAAAGAATTCGAATAACTTATAAACCGCCTTTACTTTTTTATTTCCATAGAAACACAAGTAATAAGCGATGAAAAAAAAATTTAATTGAAACACATACTGCAAATGTACAAATTAAAAAAACGCCTTCAAATATACTTTTTTTTCAAGAATATAAAAGATTTTCAATTGAGAAATACATGTTTTTTGGATCAAAGAAAAATGACTGGTAAAAATGGTCAAGTTTCTTTTTTCTAAAATCTGCAGAGCAGAATAATGAAAAAATTATATTTTTTATTACTTTAAAATTATATTTTCTGCGGAGTACTTATTCAATGATTTTAAAGAACAACAAAAAGAATTAAATTTTTTCATTATTTTTTAACATTTTTAAACCTTTAGTCTCATTTGATCGGTAAATATATCTTTACATTTAAATAAACAAAATAATACATTAATATCAAATATTTGCGTATCTTAAAGTGGAAGGAATAATTTGGCAAGTTTCTTTACAAAAACAGACGAAACAAATTATAACTAGTTATGTTTAAAGTTTTGCTAAATTTTTTACTAAATCTTTTTTTTTTTGGCGGGAGAGGGGGATGGAAAGGGAATATATGTAATGCCTTTTTCATTGTGACATACTATTTTAATTGACTCCTTCTCTCTCTCTCACACGATCTCTTTCTCTCTCTCTTTCTTCTCTTTCGGCGTCTTAGAGAATAATATTTTAATAACTTTTTTTATGTAATAATTGGTTTAAATTATACTAGGCTTTAAAACATGGTTTAAAACCGACATTTTTGAATAAAAAAAAAAGAAAAAAAAAATGATTTGAAAGCTTTTAATTTCAATTGTAACTTTTAAATAAAGTGATTAAGTTTTTATTCTAAAATTATTAAAAGTTGAATGACGTTCGATAAAACATTTGTTTTAATCAAAATGGCTTTTTTATTTCGTTTTTTATAAAACAAAAACATATGATTAAAATTATGACCATTAGACATTAAATTAGATACTATGTATCTGCATGCCAAATTTTTAAATTTGAAGTCTAAAGTCTAGTTTCTTCTTTCCTAGGATTTTATCATTTCTAAAAAATCTTATCTACTAAAGGAAATCTAATTGTGTTTTTTAAACAAAGTATAACGCTTAATAGAAACTAATTTTAAAATTTTAAATTTCCTAGTGTATTTTTTACTTTTAAAATTTAAAATGTTTTAGAGTGATTTTTAATTTTAAAGTAAATGAAACAACTTTTAAGATAACTACAAAGTTTTTTTTTATTTAATGCTTGTGTTTTTTTTGCAAAAAATAGTCAAATATGTTGCAGCCCAGCATTGAAGACAAATAAAGTGACAGGATACAAGACCCAAAAGAAACTTGCAACATTCAATTTGAAATCATAACATGATATCAGTTTTGTGGTAACATATTTATTAACAACACTTAATAAGTCTATTAATAACAATTTTAAAAACAAAAGATCGTTTACAAAAAAAATAAAATATGAGACTTATTAAACAGTATCATATAAAAAAATGTATATAAGTAAGTGTAGCTAATTAAATTTAAGTGTATTTAATATATGAAATTGAACCATATAAAGTATGTCATTAACCAGCCGCTGTTATTTACGTGAAAGGTTCACCTTTTCACTAAATAAAGCATATTAATTTGTTTTATTATTTATTGCAAAATAGATAACACCTGTAGATAAGAACTTTACATTTAAGACTACAGAAACTACATTTAATTTTAAGTAAGAATTATAGACAAAAATAAAGTTTTACAAAAGAACTTGAGTTTTGAGTTTTATATCAAGAAATATAACTTAAACATTAAAATAAATATTATTATAAAATAAAGCATTAAAAAAAAGTTCTAAGTAAACTAGAACTATCTAAATTCAGCTATTTATAAACAACTTTGGTTTGCAATAAAGTTTATAATACTGTAATATTTTAGATGCTTAAGAGTGAAAGTTTAACACTTCTATTGGTGGTTTAAAATGATGGTAAAGCTGTTGTTTTTTCTTTACACATCATTAATACATTCCAAATGTATCAAATAAAGTTCATTAACAAAGAATTAGATCCACTATTGTTATCATAATTAAAAAATGGTTTTAAGTTAACATAACCATATTATAATCGCAATATATCAAATAACCACCTCTTTTTTAATAAGTAAAACGTTTTAATGGTCAATTTTATTTTTATAAATTTACATAAAAATAACAAATAGTATGAAATTAAAATAAACATTTAGTATACAAAAAATATTGGGTGTTTTGTATAATAAAAGGGTTAACCAAACATAAATTAAGTGAAAGTTTATAAATAAATTGTAGACTATTATATAAAATGTAAACAAAAAAAATATTTGAAAAATTTTGCAAACTTTTCGTTTTTAACTTTATGTTATAGAACAATGAGAGCTAAGGCACTGTAAGGTATGTAACAAAATCTGTCACAAATGCCCTGTTTATGTAATAGAACAACGAACTTTAAGGCTGTTTATGTAAAAGAACAACGATCTCATCGACTTTTTATGCAATAGACCAACGAGCTCTACGGCTGTTTATGTAATAGAACAACGAGCGCGCTGTTTGTTTTACACTTGATTATAAATTATGTAATATGATTAAAAATTTCTTATTTGTTTTTATAAATCCTTATTTGGAGAAAGATTTTTAAAAACTTCAAATGAAAACATTGTAATCTTTTAAGTGACAATGTAAACTACGAATTTCATTTGTTTATGTACATAATAAATTATTTTATGGCTTTAAAAGATTGGAGGAGAAAAAGATAAAAAAAAAGAAAAAGAAAAAAAAAAGAATTACTTATTAATTAAAGTAATAGATTTAATTTCTTATATACTTACTTTTTCACTTTTTAAAATTGTTTTTATATTCCTATTTTTAAAAATGACAAATATATGTAAATTTAACCGTCTATTTTCAGGCTCAATGTCTTTGCTTCAAATCTATACTTTGGTTATATGGGTGTTTTCACTACGAGTAATTAAACCTTTACCGACAAATATTACTCATGGCACTTGTTACACAAAAGAATATAAACAGACGGTGTTCAAAGAAAACTGCATTCCACTTGTTATTACAAATAAAATGTGCTACGGCTCATGTCTGTCTATTTCAATGCCTTCTTACAACAAAGGAAGGACGGGCGAATGTTCAAGCTGCTCTCCAAACGAGTCTGAAATAAAAGAAATAAGATTTAAGTGTCCTCGACAAAATCGTAAACACAAGTTGAAAAAACAAATTATTGTGCATTCGTGTAAGTGTCTGAAATATGAAGAATGCGGATAATATAGTTGTTACCCATTGAAAATTTTCCTAAACAAGTAATAGAGATTGTATTATACACAAAATGTGCTTGTGGCCTGATGCAAGCATTTGTATTCAAATATATAAGTACTGGTATGAGCTTCATTAAAATTTTTTTTTAAAGTTTTCTAACAAAATTGTTACGAAAAAGAATAGTAACAATACCAAGGACAAAACTTTTCACTTTTATGTATAGATTAATAATCATTCCGATATTTCTGTAAATATTTTTTTTATTTTTACTTTCAAGGTTTTCCCTTGATTCAGTTTTATTATTTTTCTTTGATTAGCTTATCTCACACCAAATTTTAATTGTGTGTTTGGTCTTCGTTAACTTTTATTTATAATATTTTTATCTCCTTTTATCTAATTTATCTAATTTTAACTAAGTAGAATTATTTTTTAATATAACTATAAACATTTATTCAATATAATATATATATATATTTTTATGCAAACTTATATACATATTTATGTATATATATATATATATATATATATATATATATATATATATATATATATATATATATATATATATATATATATATATATATATATATATATATATATATATATATATATATAAATATATATATATATATATATATATATATATATATATATATATATATATATATATATATATATATATATTATATATATATAAGTATATTATATATATATATATATATACATGTATATGTATATATATTTTTATGCAAACTTCATGGTTAAATTTTGCTTAAACTTAATAGCATATTATGCTATTTAACTATGAAGTTTGCATAAAAATATATATACACTTATTTTTAATGTTAAAGTGATATTTAAACAAAATTCTACTTAACTCATGATGGTATAGCAAATATGACGTAATGGTTTAAGTAATGACTTCGGATCCGTCTAATTAATTTTATGGAATCAATTTAAGAAAACAAATATGAATAATAATGATAATAATGATAATAATAATAATAATAATAATAATAATAATAATAATAAAAATCATCTCTAATAAAATTCCTTTATTAAAAATAATGTTTTAAGGTATTTGCTAAGATTTTAAGTAAGTGTCAATGTTCCGCGTTTTATTTGAAGGTATTTTTTATATTATTATTTAAACTTTGTTATTTTTTATATTTAAAAACTTTAAACTTTTACATATGTAATAAAAGAACAAAACAAACAAATGAAAAAACAAATAACAATTTAGGGACTTATCTCTTATAACGTTTCTACTTAATCGGATCAACATTAAAACATTTTGGCAAATGTATACGTCTAGTGTAAACCAATTTTTTTTAAAAAAAAGTAATGCTGTGTGTATTTAGTTAAAGAAATGTTTCCATTTGAATTTATTTATTTATAACCAAATCAAGTAGTACTAAAAAAAATTTACTTATAACCAAATCATATCGTACTAAAAAAAATTTACTTATAACCAAATCAAATCGTACTAAAAAAAATTACTTTTAACCAAAAGTAGAACTAAAAATTTAAAGAACAAACAGCAGCGCAAATTAAATATATAATTTTAGAATAAATGAAATAAAATTCATTTATTTTTATATTTTACAACATATTAGTACTTGGTCATCCTTCCGGCAAGAAAATTTGATGCAACATAAAGTGTTTTGTGAGCCATATATGTGGTCACCTAAATGATATAAATATCATAGTCACACATGGCTTACATTTACACCATACTGTAAATTAACTGTAAATTGGCATTTTATGACACAGAAGACCCACATCAAATTTTCTTGTCGTGCTATCCCTATTTACGTAGTTTCTTCGCTTGTTATCATAGAAATTTCCAAAATATTCTCTGGGGATATTAGTAACCCGCATTTTTTTGTATCTATTTTATCATCTTCGGAAGCGATGGATAATGATACACCCGCATCTTTTTTTTTCATTTGATTCCAAAATTCCTTTTTTGGGTGCAGATCTTGAGAATTGCCAGGTCTGCTCAGCACTCCTTCACATTCTTAATTCAAAAAACATCTATGTTTGACTTGAAATGGCGCACTATTCTGCAAAAAATTTGTAGTATTATATAAAGCCATGAAGTTGTAGAGATGATTCTCCGGTACATCTAAGTAGCTACCAGTGTTCATATTTTTCTTCTTAGATATAAAATACAAATCCCCAACTTTCTTCATCTTCAGAAAAATAGCCTTTATCATTACGGAACATCTTCATAAAAACAAGCCGTTACAAAAATTAGCATGCTTTACACTTTTAACTGCGTAATTGTTATAATAACATATTCTATTTAATGATCTTCTTACATACTGAACCTTATCGGATGACTCTAAAGTTGTTTTGTTAGTTTTCATTGATCCAATTATTATATTTTGGAAAAATAGCAAAAACTGTTGCTGTTAATACCACAGGACAACTGTACAAAATCTGTCTGTACCGCTGTTGGTCTTTCGTCCAGACCCCTTTTTTGGTAAGTTCAGGGTCAGGTTTTTAAGTTGAAAATACATCTTCAAACAAATATTCAAATATAGACTTCAAAGGAATATTTAAATGTGTTCCAATTTCTTTGGTCTTGATCCTCTCACTAAACAGTCAATATACTTGCTTTCACATTACTTCCCTTCTGTTTTCTAACCACAATTAAAAATCGATAACAATTTTTTTAAACTGCCCATTTTCGTTAAATATGTGTTTAAAATATTTTTTTAATGAAAATTTACAGCGAGTATAAATTTGTTTTGAAAATTTTTTATCTGGAAATTTAGTAACCGGTTCCTGAAATATAAGAAAACGCACAGAAAATATTAACAATTGACTTACAAAAAATTTATAAAATTTTGAAATTATTTTTTTGCCTATTATGCCAGTTTAGTGCGCGCCAGCTGTTTAAATCTCCGCTATTTAAACCCACGCCTTCGTTTTTGCGAATCACGGTATTATATTAACTTATTCTTTTAGAGAATAATAAATATTTGTTGTACAACAAATATCCTTATAAATAACCATTTTATGCAACTAAACGGACAATGAATACGTCACTTTATACACCATTTTACATCAAATTATTGGAGCATAAAAAGTAAAGATAAGTAATAAAAATGAAATATTATATATATTGAAATGTATTAATTTGTTAACTAAGTGCAGCTATAAAAATGTAAAGTATTACTGTATTTAAAACCACACATAAAAATCTTAGAGTGGGGGTTCAAATTTATTGCGTAATTTTAGAGGGGACAGTAAATTGTTAAAATTTGCTACTAGGGAGGAAGGAGGGGGAGGGGGAGAAAGAGAATTCATAATTATCAAAAATAGCGTGACGCGGCCAAGAGGTCATCTATAACTTACATTAAATAAACATATAAAGAGGTCGTCTACAACTTACATTTAAATAAACATATGGCATGGCTATATGTTCAGCTAAGAAGCAGAACATATATTGATAGCAATGCTATACGTTTATTGTTTTTCTTTGTCATTTATTCACAACTTGTTGAATATATTTTTGTTTATACTTTTGTATATTTATACTTGTTAACTATATTTTTCACAAGATAAAAGTGAGAGTAAATAAAAACGTTAATTTGATGAGCTTTGAGTATAATGACCTTAAAATCCTCAACAATAGCCTAATATTTATTTAAATTAGAGTTCAACAAAGCTTTAAAAATATATTTTTCTCTCTAAAGATATACATTTTAAATATTTGTATTTGACGTCATAACTAACTCTCTTCAGGCATATATTTGTGTTTGGATTAATTTTTAAAACTTGACCTTTATTAATCTCAAATTCTAGGAAAATATATAAAAATAAACAAAATTTGTGCCTAAGGATTACTTAGTTAAACGTTATTTTGAACGCTATTTAAATAAATTTAGTTACTAATAAGAACAACGACAAAATCAAGAAAATTTGGTACTTCATGACCTTAAAATAACAGGGTTCTACCTCTCGTGTAGCTTTGAAATAATTTAATAAAGTTTTTTATATACTCTTAAACTTTAGGAAAAAAAAATAAAAAAACTCATTAAATTCTTTAAGTAAAAAGAATCTAAAGTCAAATTTAGTAAATTGATTGCTCAGAACACACATAATTTATTATTTATTAGGTAATATAGATTATTTATTAAGTAATATAGATTGCCGAGTGGGCACGGACGTAAAAAAGGCGTCTTTTAAAAATCTTATACACGTTTTGGACGTCTTTTGAATGTTTTGGACGTCTTTTGAACGTTCAAAAAATGTCTTTTTTAGGTCCGGTGCCCACTGGGTGGTATTAAGTAATATAGATTGGTATAAATAATCCACTGGGTGGTATTAAGTAATATAGATTGATATAAATATCTCCCATATTTTATGTTGAGAAAATTATACGTTTGGTTTTTATTTATTCTAATGTTTATAATTATATAATTTTAATATATTAATCTTATTATTAATTGTATGATTTATATATATATTTTATATATATATATATATATATATATATATATATATATATATATATTTTATAGATACATTTTTAATTTAACTTTTTTAAATAATTAACAATAATAAAAGATTAATTATAAAACATAAATAACATAAAAAATTATATTTCATCAATATTAACAATAACAACTGTTAATCATTTAAATAACTAAAAACCGAAAGTTAAACTCTCAACATTACAAAAGAGAGATAGAACCACATTGTTCTAACATCGAGACTTGTACATTTTATTAAATTTGTCATTTTTACTGCAGCTGTAAAATTAGTGACTGTAATCCGGTCATGTAACTTGAAGTTTAGTGAATTAACAAATATTTTTTAAATAGAAAGTTTAAAAAATTGTTATCATTTTGATCAAACCAATAACATATTTTAAGATACTCCCTCTTTTTTATTTTTATAAGGTGCTGTAAACAAATGAAATTAACAATAAAACCAAACAAATTGAAAATTCGTTTGGTTTTGTTATTAAGTTATGAATTGGAAGATAAAAAATTTTCACTTATCGAATAATTTCTTTTGATGGCTTTGTTAGTAAGAAAATTCGATATGACGCAAGCAAAAATTTTTAAAACAAGTTGTTTACCACATAGTCATAATAACAGATTTTATGA